GATGAGGCTTTCTACTCCCGTAAAGATTTACACCCTCGGAAACCCTGTACAGGGTCGCTATGGGTCGGACCCGACTTGACGGCACTCAACAGCAGCAGCATATATATATATACTTTATGTTTTCTCTTTGAGTTCTCCACTAGAATACCATGTATGCGTGATCACAATAAAGCTGGTGTCAGAAACACTGAAGTTACTTTCCTCAATAAATAAGCCTGCAGCTGCTGTAACTTCATAGTCCATAGATTGAGACTTTAGAGGAGTAGAGGTTTGAGGAGAAGAGCCTGGGGATTCATTAGCTAGATGACTCAATCTCATAAAATAATCATCCTCTTAATGGCCTTTCCTCAATACCCGATAATAGAGCCACAGGCATTTGAGGGATTGGTGATGTCATGTGTGTCAGAGTAGAATTATATTCCATGGGCTTTTCATAAGAAAGGCCTGGCTGCCAGGCCTTTTTTATGATTAGTCTCTGTGTAAATTCCGACCATCAACCTTTTGGTTAGCACTCAAGCACATTAACTCTTTTGCACCACCCTGGGATACCTAATAACATATCATTCTCTATTTCTTGAGCACCTTCTGCAATCTCAAATGGTGCAAATAATGCGCTTTGTTATGCTCGAAAATTCCTCTCTATTGTAGTATCTTGGGAGATTTCAATGGTTGGATTGGTTATGGTATCTCAGACCAATGAGACACAATCACCTTGAGTTTCTTGCTAAGTGTTGTCGAGTTGGTTCTGACTCATAGTGACCCTGCATAGGATTTCCAAGGAGCAACTGATGGGTTTGAGCCACTAACTTTGTGGTTAGTATTCCAGTGCTCATCCTACAGAACCACACCAAGACTCTTGGGCTATGGAGTAGGATCAAGAGCCAGGAATAGTCCCTAGTCCTTAGAAATTTCCAGTAATATTCAGAGGCATCACTTAAATTTTCTAGAAACACCAGTTGCTCATTTGATGGGGTAAATTCTAGTAAGCCTTAACCTAAAGCTTCTGCTTAAGTTCTGTCTAGCTTCCACATAGCTCCTGGTCCCTGATCTTCTCTAGAGATGACCAAGATCTCTATGTACATGACATAGATGAGCTACTTCTTTTGTTGCAACTTTCCTCCCTGTCAGTTTTCATTACTTGCTCTTCTACCTGTTCTATAAAGCTGACCTGGCCCTGGGGCAGTAGTCTGCTTACCTTTGAACAGAAGAAAAGGATAACAGTGGATTCAGAGTTAGCAGGATTCTCTGGGCGCAAACTTCTGTTGAAGCAAAGGTGCAAACACTTTTTCTTCCATGTTCTTTTTGCTTCACAATGTCTTGTACCCTTTCTCACATATAGACGTGACACATGGGAGAGGTGGAAAATGCCAGAGCAAAGAGGAGCGTGCTTTGTTTGCCTCTTAAGTTCTCCTCAGCTTCACCTTTCTCTCTTACTTTTACCTCAAAGCTAAACTTTTTCTATTTCATGTTTCCTCTTTTCCAATCTGACATGGGAATTTCAATTCTCATGACTTCTCTATCATATCCTCCTGAGGTCTAAAAGGCACATTTCTTCTCCATTTTCCAAAAGAGTTTGCTTTTTCATAATAACACCAATCACCTCCAAATTTTCTGTCATTTCCCACCAGTACTTTCAGAGTCTTAATACTAAGTTCTTCTGTAACAAGAAGATTGAAAAATAACTCACTCTCTTGCCATAGGGGACTTGACCCTCAAATTAAGGTTGAAGGGAAAAGAAAATGAAGAGTAGACTATCTGAACAGAGAGTTTTCTTTTCTAGATGATATGGTCTGTCTAAAATTTGCTAGGAAGGAAGCCCCGGAATCATAGCCAGGACAGTGATTAGGTAATTTAGTTTTCCAAAGAAAGGAAGGTCTCTCAACTCTAACTTTTTAAATGTTTGATTTGACTGATACTCTTTTAAAATATTGGTTGTTTTTCTGCCTCTGTTCTTAGAGGCATACGCTTCAAATGGACACATTAAAGTAGTTCTTTTATTTCTTGTCTTAAACATTCATTTTTCAAGTACCAGGTTAGATGCTTTTGCTCTGTTTAAGGATTGCGGGGAGGGGGGGTGGTTCCTATTGTTATTTTTTATATATCTTAATGAGTTGTGGTCAAAATGTTAGTGTCCAATGTTTCAAATTTCTTGCCTATTAATTTTTTTCTTTCATAGGTAAATATATGAACTAATCTATCTTTCTTACTGTTTAATCTAATGTAAA